CTGTTTGTAGATAATAAGATCCTGTACTTAGAAGAGTCTAAAAGTTCCATCAGAAGACTGTTAGAGCTAATAAATAAATTCAGAAAAGTAACAGGATCAACTTAAAAAATAAATAACTTACCTAAATACTAATACTGAATCTACTGAGAAAGAAATCAGGAAAATGATTCCATTCACAATAGCCTCAAAAAATTCCTAGGAATAAATCTAACTAAGGAGGTAAAATGAAATGATAATTAAGAAACCCTGAAGAAAGAAATTGAATGTAAGCATCAGAATGTGGAAAGACCTCCCATGATCATGGATAGGCAGAATTAATACTGCTAAACTGGCCTTACTACCAGAAGCAATATACATATTCAGTGCAATCCTCATCAGAATATCAATTACATTCTTCACAGAACAAGGAAAAACAGATCTGAAATTCAATTGGAAAAATAAAAGACCCAAAATAACCAAAGCAACCCTAAGCAATAAGCAATTCTGGACATATCACAATACCTGACTTCAAACTGTACCACAGAGTATAATAACCCCATGGTACTGGCAAAAAAAGACACATGGATCAATGGTACAGAGCAAATGATGTAATTTGCAGCCCACAATGATACAGTCGTTTGATCCTTGATGAAAATACAGTTTGGTGAAAAGACAGAGTTTTAAACAAATGGTGCTGGGAAAACTGGCTATCCATATGCAGAAGAATGAGACCAGATTCTAAAACATCACTTGGCACAAAACTCACATCCAAATGGATAAAATCTCAGAATTAGACCAGAAGCTATACAAACCCTAAAGGAAAAGATAGGGTCAACACTCTAACACAGAGTTGCAGATAATGACTTTCCAGTAGTACCCCTAAAGCTCAGGAAATAATGCCAAGAATTAATAAATGGAATGGCATCAACTTAAAAAGCTTCTGCAGAGCAACGGAAACAATTTAGAATGTGAAGAGGAACCTACAGAATGGGAGAAAATATTTGCTAATTACTCTTCTGACCAAGGATTAATATCCAAAATACATACAGTACTTAAAAAAATAACACCAAGAAATCAATTATGCAACTAATAAATGGGCAAATTAACTAAACAGACACTTCTCAAAAGAAGAAATATAAATGGCCAGCAAACATATGAAAAATATTCAACATATTTAGCAATTAGGGAAACACAAATCACACCTACACTGAGCCACATGCAGTGGCACACGCCTCTAATCCCAGTGACTCAGGAACCTGAGGCAGGAGGATTGACAGCCTCAGGAAAAGCGAGGCAGTAAGCAACTCAGTGAGACCCTGTGTCTAAATAAAACATGAAATAGGGCTGAGGATATGGCTCAGTCGTCCAGTGCCCCTGAGTTCAATCCCTAGTACCTCCGTCACCAAAAAAAAAAAAAAAACTACACTGAGATTTCATCTCACTCCCATTAGAATGTCAGCCATCAAGAATATAAACAACAATAAATGCTGGAGAGAATCTGGAGAAAAAGAAAACATGTTACAGTGTTGGTGGAATTTTAAATTAATACACTGTGGAATTAAGAATGGAGGTTCCACAAAAGAGTAGAAATGGAAACACCATTGACCAGCTCTGTCACTCCTCAGTCTATATCCCAGAGAATTAAAGTCAGCATGATATAGCAATATATAGATACCCATGTATATTCTAATAAGTGAGCTCAAGGCTTGAGTGTGTAACTCCACTGTCACACACTCAAGGAAACTTGGAGCCATAAGGCTACATGTCTACACTCATAAGGAGGAATCTGGGATAGCATTGCTGTCAGGAGATTGGATCCTTGTGTATTCAGAACTGGACAGGGTGGCAGTAGACGGCCACCGAGCCTCTAGGATTCTGTCCCTCCCATCTAGAGAATGTCACATCAGTTCTTTCCTCTGCTCACTACTCTTCACTGTACTGAAGGTGTTGGTGTGGCAATTGGTGTGTAACATCCACGAGGATTACTCACCCGCATTCTTCAGCAGTTGGAGCCTGCCTCACAACATTGTCCTGGATCTCTTTATTTGTTTGTTCATTTTGTTCTGTTTTGCTCTGTTTGGGTGGCGTGGTGCGGAGAGGTAAATGTGGCAAATCACTTAGCATTTTTTGTAGAGATGATAGAAAATGAGTTGAAAGTAATGCTGCATTTGGATATCTGAGTAAGATAGAGAAAGACATAGATATAGACAGAGAAAATTAAGTAATGATCACTTGCAGAAGGTCAACTGAAGGACAGACACAAAGTGGGAGCCAACATGAGCAAATGTGCATCACCTGGACTTAACTACATCTTTCTCACCGTCCCCTTATGTTCTTCAACCCACAACGTAAAGGACTGCAGATTTGATTGAGCAGCCCATGTTTCTATTCTAAATTGGCTGCTTCTGGGAAAAATATAACCACAACATGAATGGTGCATTTTCCCACCTGCTCCATCCCCAGATCCTCAAACAACCCTGTGGAAAGGCAGGGAAGAGAAATTATCCACCTGGGCAGAATGGACCTCGAGGTGCAGCAAGGAGAAGCAACTGGCCTGAGGTTATCTGATCCTTGGGGAGCAGAAGCCAGACTAAAGCCCCACCACTAAGGCCCAGCTTGACACTGGGTATGAATCTTGACACAGTGAGTCCTCAGAGTCTCTCTTGCTCTCCTTGCTCCAAATGAGTCACCTGCCTCCTTCCCCATCCCAGGGATTTTCTAGAGGTCTACCTGCAGAAACAAACTGCCCAGAGGATACTGTCCTGCAAAAAGTGGGTCTTCAATAGTCCTTTGGGACCCTAGCCATCCCTTTGCTCTTCTCTGCTCCTCTTTGTCCATTTCCAATGTCCCAATGTCCTCCCCTAACTGATTCATTGTGGTCTGTAATGAACAAATATTAATGTTTCACCAACAGTAACTCTATGTATTATGTACAGCAATATTTTCAAATTAACACCTAATGACAGGAGAGGGCAATACTTACCCTAAGGAATAGCCTCTTAATGGTCATAGTTCAGAAGGCGTGAAGGATAGGCAGGAGCCAGCAGCATGGTACCAGTACAGAAACCTGACAGTGTCCATCCATGGCCAGGAACTTTGTGACACCTTGACAGCATCAAGTCATTATTTCCCCATGACATCCCTAGGCTATAGGAAACATTGCTACATTCCATTTCTGCACACAAGAAGACAGGCACAGGTAGGTTAATTAATTTGCCTGAGGCTCCACAGCTAGAATAATCAATCAGTGCTTTAGACCAGGGGCTCTAGCTATAGCAACTGAGCTCTTAAAACATAGTGAGTCAAATTACTTATCTCTGGGACTCCCTTCAATGCAGATCCCACCAGAAAAGCAACTGCTTATTCTGTGTACACAAAAAGAGGCCAAGTTTTTAATGTCTTGGGCAAGGCAGGAACTATGGCACCAATTGTGTCCTCTCCTCATTCTCAGGGTCTCTGAGCATGGATAAGTGAAAGTCCCTTTGTCTTTGGGCTCTGAGTTTCATCACCAGTCCTTTTGAAGGCAGCCACAAAGGAGACTCAGAGTAAGGAGCAGGTGCCAGGAACTTAGCCAGCACAATGCCACTCTCATGACAAACCTTCCTCCTTCCCATTCCCCACCCCTTCACCCTCTACTACAGGGGCCTTCCTGGAGTTGCCTGCAAGGGTAAGGGTTCTGGAGGACACACAAATGGACCAGGAAACGAGCAGTTCTACTTGTATCCAAGGAAAGGCCACCATTAAACCTGAGTTTTCTCTTCAGATTGTCCCTCCTGCTATTTTAGGATGTCGTGCCCAATTTCAGTTCAGTTCACTTCTCCATACTCTCCTTCAGAAAAGTTGATTCTAAACAACTGGTTCTGTCCTTGAGCTGCATAGAAAAGTGACCAAGGCTTGGAGGTAGAATCAGAGTGGAATCTTTGCTAGAAGTCTGTGCTTAGTTAGAGCTGTCCCTTACTTCTCTGAGCCTCACTCTCCTCACCTATAGAGGAGACAAGGACACTCTGCAAGATAGTGAAGAAAGGAAGGTAGCAAACTAGAATTTATGTGCAAATTATAAAGCACAGCCGAGTGTGTAAGATATTGACAGACAGCAGGCAGCACAGTGTGGGCTTCATGGGCTAACTTGAGGTGACAGTGTCATTCCTGAAGATTTAAGGCAAGTCTGAAGACACTGATGTTGTATCCAGTGCCCAACACTAAATGGCTACAAGGGAAGTCCCTTGGAGACTAATTCATTTTCAGGGTTGATGTCTACTTTTGATTATATGTGATAAGATACGTTCCATTAAATCCATCATAGGAACCCATCCTAAACTGACTGATAATGGCTCCATGGTCCTCTATCACACAAGCAGAAAACACATGGGATGATGTGATCTCCTCTTTTCTGCTCGGCCCAGACCCAGTGACAAACAGGACCTGTCAGGGGGAGGCCTGATACTTACACCAGTGGGTCTCCCTCCTCTCCTCCCACTGTTGGGACTTGGATCCTCCTCATGGGGTCTGGAGCAGAGACATACCTGTTAACCTGTTGCTTACCCTGCTCTCTCTCTCTCTTAAACCCCAGAGCTGTGCCTTTGACATGCTGAGGCCAAGGTTGGCTTCCTATGCCACACTCTGTTGTCTGCTTCTCCATCAATTTCAAATCCATATGTGATTCTTCATTCCTATAAATTTAAATTTCAACTTTCCCCTCAAATCCAGATCTCTACAACCTCCCCACTCTTCTCAATGAACGTGATAAACTTCCCATGAATCTATTTGAACAATTGTGTTCCAGGCATCCTTCTAAGCTCTCTCCACAGTTTCACTTTCCAAACTGGAAAGTGATTAAAAACAGTCATTCTTTTTCTTTCTGAGAAAATGCTACATGTTCTGATTTCTGTGCATTTCTTTACTTGCTTTTTCCATGGACCCTCTATGATGGTCCTTCAAGATATAGGTAGCAGTCTGCTTTATTAGGAAACGTCCAAGCCCATCCAAAAAGCTTCCTAATCACCTGCCTTGTGTCCCCACAGGGTTGCAGACAAAGACCAAGATTACATTGTTGGAAGGAGATATTCTGGATGCCCAGTGCCTGAGGACAGCCTGCCAGGGCATCTCAGTCGTCATTCATACAGCCGCCATTATTGACACCACGGGTATCATTCAGAGACAGACCGTCATAAATGTCAATCTGAAAGGTAGAGTGGCCTGGGATGACATGGGACAGGTGAAGCTGAGGGTAGCAAAGCAGGATCAGGAGGGGTAGAGAAGCCCCCGTCATGGAAACCTGGGGTTCTCTGGGCCAGTTGTCTTTGCTCACCCATCCCAGCTGACAAAAGCTCAGGGATGTTATTCTGAGGGTTTTACGTGAGGAATCCAGGGCTGAGATAGAGCAAGGCCCCCCAGGTAATCTCACACCTTTGTGGTCCATCTGCCATGAACCTCTTTCTACTGTTCCTTGATTCCAAACTTACTTGATTCTCACTCCAAATTCTTTTTTTTTTAATTTGTTCTTTTTAGATATGTGTGAACGTCTAGAGCGTTCGGGTCCCTGGGTAAGGGTCACGAAATAACCGGGGCACAGGGGATGCAGAGCCAAGGCAGCAATCGCAACTGCATGCTGAAGTTTATTTGCAAATTCCTTTTATACACTTCTTCTAACAAAGCAAGCAATTCTTCAATAACACTTTACCCACATTGTCCAAATATCATGCCTCAGCGGATACACAGAGCTAGATTCAAATTGTTCCTGTTTGTTTGATAAGTACCCTCCTAAAGTTCTTTGTAGACATTATCTACTCCTCTGAGGATGCATTTGTTTCTTCAGAATGTACTGTTCCCAGGATAAGTATGCAGGAAGCTTCTTCCTCTTGGCCAAACCATGCAGAACTTGTGACTTGCGGTAAGGGGAAGAGAACTTTTCCTCCTCCTAGCTGAGGTTTGCCTCAGCTGACCTAAATCACAGCCACAGCTCTTGCAAAATGTCAGGCCTGAGGGAGCTAAACTCTGCACACTCAAACCCCAACAGATATGCATAACAGTAGAGTATATTTTGACATATTACACATAAATGGAATAAAATTTCCTATTCTTATCATGTGGACATGATGTGGAGATTTACTGGTCTTATGTTTAAATACGAAGCTAGGAAAGTTATACCCAATCCATTCTACTGTTTTTTCTATTTCAGTCCCCCCGCTTCCATCCCTTCATTCCCCTTTGTCTAGTCCATTGAAACTTATATTCTTCCCTCCCCCCTTATTGTGTGTTGGCATCCACAAATCAGAGAGAACATTCGGCTTTTGGTTTTGGGGGATTGGCTTATTTCACTTAGCATAATATTCTCCAGTTACATCCATTTATCTGCAAATGCCATAATTTCATTCTTCTTTATAGGTAAGTAATATTCCATTGCATATATAAATCACATTTTCTTTTATCATTCATCTATTGAAGAGCACCTATGTTGGTTCCATAGCTTAGCTATTGTGAATTGAGCTGCTAGAAACATTGATGTGGCTGTGTCACTATGGTATGCTAATTTTAAGTCCTTTGGGTATATGCCAAGGTGTGGGATAACTGGGTCAAATGGTGGTTCCATTCCAAGGGTTCTGAGGAATCTCCATAATACTTTCCAGAATGGTTGCACCAATGTGCAATCCCATCAGCAATGGATGAGTGTATCTTTTCCCCCACATTCTCACCAGCATTTATTGTTATTTGTATTCTTTTCTTTTTTCACTTTTTAATAAGCCACATGGCAATACAACACTTTATTTTAATAAATGTACATGAAATTTTATTTTGAATATTTCAAACATAGTACATATGCATATGTTTTTATCTTAATTAAATGATCAAACCCCAGCTTCAAAATCTTTCTAAAATCAATCATATGTAAAATTCCGGGTTTCTGAAGGGGCATATGGAGAAGCATATATGGCTTATTAAATAGCACATCTATTTAGAGAAGCATAACCTTTGCCAAATGTACAGTAGAAAGCTGACATACTGGCACATTTCAGTTTTGTGTTGTATTTATTTCAGAACATTCTTAATTGCACTATTTAAATGGACACTATCATAGATTTAACTAGGAAGGTCTCCATTATAAATGTTTTGCAATCTTAACAAAAATCATAAAACTTTTGCTGGTCCTCACAACATGATTGGAAGAGCAGCTAAAACCCTTTGTAGTTAGGTGAGAACTCAATGACTGGCTGGCCTAAGGGCACTCACATAATTCAAAACCAAAAAACTCCCACACAATTTCTTCCAATTTGCATGCTACCACTAACACATAAATAATATACCTGATGGGCAAACTGTAAATCAAATCTGAAGCTCCAGCTTGACATGATTCACATAATAGATCTGGAATTAGGATCTGAAAACAGTATTTTGGCTCTAGTGATATTAAACTTCATCAGTTATCTGGAGATTAGACTTGCCTCCCCTTCATATAGCTTATAGTGAGGTGCTACTGTTCATTTATGTTTGGTTCAAAGACAAACTGAACCAAGCTTATGTCCTTGATAATTGCCATTCTAACTGGAGTGAGATGAAATATCAATGTAGTTTTAATTTGTATTTCTTGAATTGTTACAGATGTTGATTGTTTTTTCATATATTTGTTGACAGATCATATTTCTTCTTCTGTGAAGCGCCTTTTCAGTTCTTTTGCCTGTTTATTGACTGGGTTATTTGTTGTTGGTTTCCTTTTGGGGTGTGTGTGTGTGTGTGTGTTACATTTTTTGAGTTCTTTATATATCTTGGAGATTAGTGCTTTGCCTGAGGTGCAGGTGGCAAAGACTGTCTTCTATTCTGTAAGCTCTTTCTTCAGTTTCTTGATCATTTTCTTTGTTGTAAAGAATTTTTTAGTTTGATACTATCCCATCTATTGACTCTTGATTTTACTTCTTGTACTTTAGGAGTCTTGTTGAGGAATTTGGTTCCAAAGCTGACATGACAGATATTTGGCCTACTTTTTCTTCTAGTAGGTGCAGTGTCTCTGGTCTAATGCCCAGGTGCTTGATCCACATTAACATGAGTTCTGTGCTGGGTGGGAGATAGGGTCTTAATTTCAATTTACTACATATGAATCTCCAATTTTCCTAGCACCTTTTGATGAAGAGATGATCTTTTCTCTAATGTATGTTTATGGTGCCTGTATAGTATGAGATAGCTGTATTTATATAGGTTTGTCTCTGTGTCTTCAACTCTGTACCATTGGTCTTCATGTCTCTTTTGGTGCGAATACCATGCCATTTTGGTTACTATAGGTCTGTAGTATAATTTAAGAACTGGTATCGGGATGCATCCTGCCTCACTTTTCTCGCTAAGGATTGCTCTGGCTATTCTGGGCCTCTTATTTTTCCAAATGAACTTCATTATTGCCTTTTCTATTTCTATGTAGAACATCATTGGAAATGTAATAGGAATTGCATTAAAGTCTGTATAATGTTTTTGGTAATATAACCATTTTGACAGTATTAATTCACCTCTCCAAGAACATGGGAGATCTTTCCATCTTCTAAGGTCTTCTTCATTTTCCTTCCTTAGTGTTCTGTAGATTTCATTGTAGAGGTCTTTCACCTCTTTTGTTAGATTGATTTCTGAATATTTTAATTTTTCAGGCTATTGTGAATGTGATACTTTTCCTAATTTCTCTTTCAATTGATTCATCACTGATATAAAGGAATGCAATTGATTTATGGGTGTTAATTTTATATCCTGCTACTTTGCTGAATTCAATTATGAGTTCTAGAAGTTTTTTGGTGGAGTTTTTGGATCTTCTAAATATTGAATCATGTCATAATCAAATAGAGATAGTCTGAGTTCTTCTTTTCCTATTTCTCTCCCTTTAATTTCTTTCATCTAATTGTTCTGGCTCGGTTTCAAGGACTAACAAGTAGTGAAAGAGGGTATCCTTCTTTTGTTCCAGTTTTTAGAGGGAATGCTTTCCATTTTTCTCCATTTAGAATGATGTTGGCCTTGGGTTTAACATGTATAACTTTTACAATGTTGAGATATGTTCCTATTATCCCTAGTGGGAATCTGTTTTGAACATGAATGGATGCTATATTTTGTCAAACACTTTTCCTGTATCTATTGATATAATCATGTGATTCTTATCTTTAAAATTATTGATATGATAAATTATGTTTACTGATTTCCATATCCTGAACCAACTTTGCATCCCTGAACTGAACCTCATTTTATCATGGAGCACTATCTTTTTAATATGTTTTTGTACGTGATTTTTCCAGTATTTTATTAAGAATTTTTGCATCTATGTTCATCAGGTTTATTAGTTTGAAGTTTTTTTCCTTGATGTGTCTTTGTCTGATTTTGGTATCAGGGTGATACTAGCTTCATGAAATGATTTAGACAGGTTCCCTCCCTTTCAATTTCATGTCTTCTATTGCTTTTGATGTTGGTTTTCTCTTCTTTTTCTAGGACTTTGGGGCATAATGTTAGGTAATTTATTTCTTGACTTTCTATTCCTTTAATGAATAAGCTCAATGCAATGCCTTCATAGTGTCAAGAGAGATTTTTGTATATCACTATTCTCATTTACCTTTAAGCATTTTTTAAATTTCTTCTGCTATACAGTGGTCATTCAATAGCATATTATTTAGTCTCCATGTGTTAGAGTAGCTTCTATTCTTAATTCTATCATTGATTTCTAATTTCATTCTGTTATGATCTGGTAAAATTCAAGACATTATTTCCATTTTGGGGGTATTTTCTAAGCCATATGATCTATTTTAGAGAAGGATCCACATACTGCTAAGAAGAAAGTATATTCAATCATTGATGGATTCTATATATGTCCATTAGGTCTAAATTAATTGGGTTTTTTAATTCTATAGTTTATTTATTTAATTTTTGTTTGGAGGATATATCCAGTGGTGAGAGAAGTGTGTTATAGTCACCTAGTATTATTGTGTTGTGGTCTGTTGGATTCTTGAAATTGAAAAGGGTTTGTTTGATGTACATGGATGCTCCATTGTGTGGGGAATAAATATTTATGATTATTAAGCAGTATAAAATGTCCTTCTTTGTCCTTTCTGATTGACTTTGGCTTGAAGACCACTTCATTTGATATGAGGACAGAAGCCCCTGCTTGTTTACGAGATCCATGTGAATGATATGTTTTTTTCCATCCTTTTATCTTCAGTCTCTGGCTGTCTTTGCCTATAAGGGTGAGTCTCTTTGAGACAGCATATTGTTGGATCTTGTTTTTAATCCAATCAGTCAGTCTCTGTGTTTTTATTGATGAATTCAGGCTATTTACATTCAATGTTATTATTGAGAAATTATTTTTATACCCTTTGATTTTGATTTATTTCTGATTTTTCTTTGAATTACTTTCCCCTTTGATTGACTGTTCTTCTAGTATAGTTCCTCCCTTTGCTGGCTTTCACATTTATTTTTCATTCTTCTTCATGTAATATCTTATTGAGTATGTTTTTTTATTGCCCACTTTCTTGTTGTGAATTCTTTTAACTTTTATTTATCATGGAAGGTTTTTATTTAATCATCAACTCTGAAGCTTAATTTTTTGCTGGGTATAATATTCTTGGCTGGCATCCATTTTCTTTCAGAGCTTGATACATACTATTCCAAGACCTCCTAGCTTTGAGTGCCTTGAGTTGAGAAATCAGTTGAGATTTGGATTGATTTTCCTGTAAAAAGCAACCTGTCATTTGTCTCTGGCAGCCTTTAAAATTCTTCCCATATTCTGTATGTTAGGCATAACATAAGCCTCCTAATTTGATTTTTCCATTTCATTGTTTAGGTTTAGGAAATTTTATGATATTACTTCATTGAAAAGACCATGCATTCCTTTGGTTTGTATCTCCAAGCCTTTATATATATATTGATAAATCTTAAATTTCATCTTTTCAGGTTATTGCATATTTCATGAAGGTTCTGTACCTGGTCTCTTAATGTCTTTTCTCCATGGCAAACTTTATTTTTAAGATTATGTATTTTGTCTTCATTGCCTGAAACTCTGTCTTCCAAGTGGTCTAGTCTGTTAGTAATGTTTTCCAATGAATCTATTATTTGGTTTAGTGATTCCTTCATTTCAAGGGTTTCTGCTTGATTTTTTTTTTCAGAATCTCTATCTCTTTATTGAAGAGATCTTTCATTTCCTGTGTTTTTCTTTGATTTAGCTCCTTACAACATTCTTTCCCTCATAGATCGATTGAATTATACATTTTGCACTCCTTTCTGACATTTCTTCCACTGTGGTGTTTATGGATTCTGTTATTGAAATATCTTGGTTTGTTTGAGTGATTCGTTCCTAGCTTTTCCATGTTTGTGTGTCTACCCGTCTAGCACTGTGGATCTGAGGCAGTAGTGATTCTACCCTGTGGACTTAGTGTGTCCCTGAATTTCAAGTATCTCACCATTTAGGGGGAGACAAATAATGACAACCACTAATGCAAACTATATACAGCATTAAATCAAATAGTTCCTCCTATGATGTCTAAAATGTCAATTGTCACAATCAACAGAAATGATATGATTAGTTATTGCCTACAGTAAAAACTGTAATTTGTAAAAGGGTTTACAATTTTGAAAGTTAGATAGGGAGAGGACTGAGGTGATATAGAATGTGATGATTGCGAGGGTGGAGGAGAGAAGATAGAAGTAAAAAATTTAAAGGAAAAGTGAAAGAGAGAACAACAGATATAGGCTATTAGC